AATCAAGGCTGTAAATAATCTGATGAATAAAACAAGCACATAAAACGTAAAACAGATTAAATGTAACATGCAACTTTAAAAGCAATCAAAAAAGAGATCAATTTTTTAAAAGCGGGGGGAGGAGGGCACCGGCCCTGCTTAAAATGTCAGTTTTACGGCACACCATGTTAACAGCCAACGACCCGACTCGGTGGAAACATTTTTCTTTGCTGGTGGAAGGGTAACAGCAAGGGGGACAGCTTAGAAGGAGAGCTTGGTTTACTTCCGAGGAAGCCCTTTGGCTCCTGGCACCCAGAATGGGTCACAGCTGCCCAGATAAAATGAGTCTTTTCTGGTTGTTGTGGGGTTTTTCGGGCTCTTTGGCCGTGTTCTGTAGGTTGTTCTTCCTAATGTTTCGACGGTCTCTGTGGCCATGGGCATCTTCTCTGGCAAAGTTCCTACTCCTGTCCTCTGAAGATGCCGGCCGCAGAGAGACTGGTGAAACATCAGGAAGAACAACCTTCAGAACACGGCCAAAGAGCCCGAAAAACCCACAACAACCATCAGATCCCGGCCGTGAAAGCCTTTGCGACAAATACATTGAGTCTTTTCTGTTATGTGGAGACGATGGCTCTGTTTCTGCCATCTCGAATCACATCAGCTGTTTCTGAAACCCTCCACAGGTACTGTCACCTATTGTCCAGAAAATAGACTTGCTTCTTTCTAACCCACTGTTATATGCTTCGCAGTTCCCCCGACGCCACCCCCTTGTTCTCCCGATGAACCTGACAGCGTTAGGTGAAAGCATTGCCCAGTTTGCCAGATAATACAAAAAAAAGAGGACCACAAAATACAGGGACCTGGCAACACTTAAGAGTTCTAACCCTTCTCCAATTCCATCACTGAGCAAGGGGGAAAGAAGGGGGAAAGTTTGTGATACAGAGGGGGGTGCCCTTGCTCTTATCTCTTTCCCTGGAAAGCAGAGTGAGTGAAGACGTTTGGGGTCTGTGAAATGGAGAAAGTGTCTACACCCTGGGATAAAACTGGAAAAAAACCCTGTTCTTAAATATGTACAACTCTGCACAAAAATAGTGTGTGGAGAATACAAAAAGCATCCCGTCACAAGTCACACAAACGCACCCCCCCATATAACAAGGACACAACAGTCAGTATGATTTTTCCACCTTGATGCATGCTCCCTGTAGCTGTATAATTCACAGGCCAGTAACAACAGTCCTGCCTAACCATAGGCTACGCTGGCATATAAATAGATATAAATGACAATTTTCTAAGACATGGAGTTGTCATGTTTTGCTGTCGTTGTTGCATATGTACTTCATACTTCCCCTGCAAATAGCTCTCAGTTCAATGGTCTTTTAAAAAAAAATGTCAGCAAAGATGTAAAGCTGAAATGGTTTAGCAGTGTATCAGCACAGCGCAAAACTTTTTTTTAGTTACGAGCCAAGGCTGTCATTTCATTTAAAACGATATTTTGGGAAGACATGGCTTTTCCCAGATTTTTTGTGGCACAAAAGCTTCGCGCTTCCATTGCATATAGCCGTGGATGCAAAAACCTATTTTTATTTTTAAAACTGAAATCTGTATATCTGTAGAGCACAAAATGTGTTTGGTTAAACTGTCAGTGCATCTTGCGCTAGGTCTGTTTTCTAATTTTTTAAAAAGTAAAACAAATATATACATATATTTTAAAAATAGCTATGCAAACCAGTGGGAGGGAAGGAGCAAAAACGTTTACACCAGGCCTACCTATATATGTCTGTATCTATGTTCTCAAGACACATTCAGTGAAGTTCCAGAAAGCTCCCAAAAATCATTCACCCAATACAAATTTGTGAAAAAGGAAAGAGGAAACAGGACAACAACAGAAAGGAGCAATGAGGGATGAACAAAATGTACTAGAAACTTGAGCTAAAAGACTTGATCTGCTTGGGATTTGGAAGAACATTGTCAGATCCTCAGAGTAAATATGGAAATGTTCAGCGAGGAACACAAGGTCTAACAGCAGGACAAATTGACTGTCTGGTGGCGTCCTCAGAAAGTCTGAAACGGAATGGCGCATCCACCTTCCCACATGACTATCAATCAAGTCCAACAATTGAGGCAAAGACTTAAAAACAACAACAACACATTTTCTGTCTTTCTGAAATGCACACCGAGAGCTGGAGAAAATGAAGCCACACTTCCTCTGGCATGTGTGAAAACAATCCGAAGTTTCAAAAATAAAAGTAGCCGTGACGGCACTGTTTTTCGAACTTTTTTGACCCTGAGAATGGTTCTCTCCTCCTTATTTGCATACACAGAAACCGCCTTTATAACAGTAAACCTGAGAATTTCAATAAGATGATGAGTTCGAGATATAGTATATAGAATTGACACCACCAACAACCACATTGCACGGCCCATCAAGTCATCTGGAAGGGCTGTCAATTCAGATTTTCACCTGTATTCATCCCAGGAACATGCCTTGCCTCGTCTCTTCCTCCGCTGAGGAGGTATGTCTTTCCTGTCCTGCAATCCAGGCCCTTTTCTACTTTTCCCTCTAAATGTCACATTTGCACAACATTGTTAGGGCTGCTCTCTTCTCAGCTCCCCTGGCTGAACGATCCGGCAGAAATGATGTATGAGAGCAATGCCTGATGTCTCCCGTGGCATATTTCATTAGCACGCTCGGTTCCCACTGGGAGAGAGAGGGCAAGGGAGGGACCTAGCTATCCAGGGTGCAGAAGCCAAACACAGTGCGTGTAAAGTTCAGACTCAAACCCGAAGCGGATGCATTGTCCCCGTGAAATTAGAGTCACCATATGGGAAGAGAAGCATGAGGGCAGGAGAAACACGTCGCTTATATGGGGTGAGGGAGGTACGGGAGAAAATAAGGGATGCAAATTCCGACTCTCCTTTTAGAATGGAGATGAAATTACTACAATAAATAGTGGTTGAGTACAATACACCAATTCTTCCCCTCCCTAGAATTTAGAGTATGGGCAAGGGAACACATTCATCCATGCAACAACATCCTTGCACCATAAAGCATTATTTTTATTATTTGTACTAATACAAGCATAATCAGTTTTATTTGATGGGGACACGGGAGAGGGCCTTCTCTGGGGCAGCTCCCAGGTTACGGAAGGCTCTCCCTCAGGAGATCAGGCTGGCCGCCCTCCCCTTCCGAAAAAAAAAAGGTAAAGACCCTCTTTTTCAGGCAGGCTTTTGACAATCATGGCCGAGTCCCTTCCTAGAGTCAGACAGTTCTTTTAATGTTCATTCAATTTTAATTATTCAATTGCAGTTTAATTAGCATACTGTTTAATTGCATTTTTTTAAATGTTTAACTTACTCTGTTTTCAAGTCTATTCCTTATAATACTGTGAGCTGCCTTGGGTCCCCTTATTGGGGGAAAAGGCAGCATATAAATAAAACAAATAAATAAATACTGGCTTTTTCCTGCTTGTGAAGATACAGAGACAACTCTTCATAGTTTGTCCCCCTCTGTCCATTTGGGAGTTATAGTCCAGCATATCTGGAGGGGGACAGGTTGGGAGCTATAGCTGTCACTCTATGTTAAGGGCACTGATCTCTTCATGGTCTATCAAGCTGCATACCGGTGGGATTGAACTCTTAGTCCAGCTACTCCAGAACAGCCCACTCTGTCTGGCAGCTGCAATCCAGGGTTGCAAACAAGAGAAATTATAAAGGTTCCCCTTGACAATTTTTGTCCAGTCGTGTTCGACTCTAGGGGGCGGTGCTCATCCCCGTTTCCAAGCCATAGAGCCAGCGTTTTGTCCGAAGACAATCTTCCGTGGTCACATGGCCAGTGCGACTTAGACACGGAACGCTGTTACCTTCCCACCGAGGTGGTCCCTATTTATCTACTTGCATTTGCATGCTTTCGAACCAAAAACTATTTTTAAAAAAACCTGGGGATATTGCCAACCATCCGCCTTCTGAATGTAAAGTGTGTGCTCGGCCAGCAAAGCCCACCGCTTCCCATTCAGTGAAACGGGGGTTGGGGGAGTGATTTAGAACTTCCAAAAAGTTGCTCTAAATCACTGAACGCCCCAATGACCCCTGCTGTCACGGTGCACGGAGTTGTGTATTAAATTGTGTATTAAAATATTTAAAGGGGTATATAAGAAAAGCAGCCCTGAAATTGAAAGTGCATTTGAATGTGTGGCTTGGAAATAGGTTATTATTTATTTTAAGTCATCCCAAACGATGGGCTGAACTCTCCAGCTGAACAAGGTTGCTCTACCGTGACATTCCGCCAGCTGAACAATGCTTCGGTGACAGCTTAGAAGTGACACATTTAGATCTAATGCTTTGCACTCGTTAAGAGTTTCAATGCTCTTATATTATAGTAAGTGGGATTTCTAAGAATTTAGGGGTTTAAATCTTACAGCTGCAAGCTTTGCAAAGGCCGAATCAAAACAACAAATATTATGAGGAGTGTGGGGACATGCCAGATATCAAGTGACAAATCTCTGACGTTACAAATCTTGATGAAACAAATGAGATGTCTATTAAAAAAACCATTCTCCTGGATCTCTAAGCTTTTAAATGTCCAAGCCTTGCAGATAAGATTGTGTGTTTTTTTTAGATACGATATTTTTATTTAGCCCACTGGGGTTTCACATACTTATATAATAAGTATGTGAATAAGTTTTTGAATATTCATCGGATATACAACCATATAGCCATTTATATCTGTTTGCTTCTTCAATAAAAGGTAGAAAAATGGAGACTTGTTTCTGGACATTCAGATGTATCTGTCTTGTATGGGGCAAATGCATTAAATTAAAGGAGGGAGGATCACAGAAGGTGCAGATGATTCCTCTGGTTCACACTGGATTGACCTGCTTTTTCAAATATAAGCCAGCCATGAGGACACAAGGCTTCTGATGTTTCCCTGGAGGTCTAATAAAGCTCTGTAGGGCTCTTTAGGGGAAGTTCAGCATTAGTTTATCTAACCAGACACCTACCCTGTAAAGTTAGCAGTTACTTACATTTGGCTGGCAGACGGTAGCCACAGGTGATTTTGGCTTTCCCAGTTTCGCAACCGTTCAGAGTCCGGCATTCTTCTTTAAGCAAAGGCCCCGCAGCACGATGGATGCTCCCATCCACTACAAAAGAAAAAAAATTAAAGAAACGTTGTATTAATGGAACAATGCACCCACAGTGCTTACTAATTACTTTACTAGTTTGCATAAATGCTTTGGGCTCAAGGCACAGACCTGGCTCTTCTCCCTCCTTTCTCCTTACAACAACCCAATGAGGTAGATCAGGGCTAAGTGACTATTTCTCCGAATCACCCAGTAAATGACAGGACTCAATAAGGACAAGAAATCCCAGTCCAACATAATCAGATTATCTGTCCTGTAGCTGTGGGAGACTCAGACAGAGACCAGCAGTGTGTTGGTCACATCGCCTGATTAAGCAACAGTAGTGCATCAGAAAAAATACATAGGACGTGGCATCCACCTCACAAATATTCGAATGATACCATCCCTTTTAGACTGTAATGTGAGAGGCACAAGACATGTAATTACTGATACGAAACAAAGAACATTTTTGATCATACAAAAACATGACAGTTCAACAATTCTCTACTGATTGATAATATGTTTATATACTTTTATTTTCGAAAGTGTCTTCCTTAAATAAATAAGTACTGTAGGACCACCATATCCATGAGGGATCGATTTCAAGCTTCCCCATGGCAAAAAAAACGTGGATAATCGTGAACCCTCTATATATAGCATAGTATCTGGCTCCTTTTAGTGGCCAGTTCTGGTAATCATGGAAATACATATTTCTGGGGTTTCTTAGGGTTTTTTTTTTTACTTTTAACATTTTAAATGTTTTCGGACTATGGGTGAGTGAAACCATGTATACCAATTCCACAGAAACAGGAGTCCTGCTCTAAACAAGAATGCAAACCCAGCTTACACCCTTATTTGCAGTAGGGGGAGAAGATATTCCGTCTAGAGGAGCTGATATTCAGGAGGAGATATTCAGCCTGGCTGATCTTTGCATTTTAAATTGCCTTTCCTGAACAAAACAGTGGTGTGGGAAGAAGCTGACTATGTCAGCTTCAAGGCAGCACAGGCAACAGGTCTCGTTCGATGGAATGGGGCAGCTTTGGACCTAAGAGACACAAAGCCAGTTTTTCCTTGCCCCATTTCCAAAATCAGGACTGGACTTTGCACCCAGTGCACCAAAATGTAGCATGCAGCCAAATCCAAATGTGGAACTAGTGGTACAGTAAATGTTGGGGTGGGAGGAAGCAGCCTCTTCCACCCTATATTCTCTCTCTTTCTCGCCCTCTCTCTGAAGCATAAACATCCTCTTTCTTTTGGGAAGGCACCACATCCTCCTTCTCGGTTTTTCATGGACAGTCCATGCCCGTAATTCTCAAGCAGAGAAGATAGGAGATGGCGTTGCTTGCCTTGTATGAAAAAAAGGGTTGGTGGTAGCTTTCTTCCTACTGAACGTTCAGGAAGTTCAGCCTTCCTTTTCCCCCGTCTTATCCTTGTCCTTCCAGCAGGTCATTTCAGGAACTTACCATTTTATTGTTAAAACATAACAATATGTCTGAAATGTAGGAACCAAAAAGGTTGGGGGCGGCCTCCTTTTTTTTTTTTTTTTTAAATTTCAAGTTAAAGCAAAAGAAGAATCAGCACAATTTCCAAATTACCAAAACCTTCAAAGCTTGCCCTTCTTTTTCACAGGGCTTGCAAGAGGCCCCGCAGCAGAACCGAAAACCTAGAAACGTTGCCGGGACAGGCTGTGTCTTTTATATTGTCCTCAGCATTGGCATTTGTACCTAGAAGGTCACCCTTTTAGGTTTGAACTGTAGCTTACTAAATATAAGTGTGCAAATCCGGCACGGCCGTGCCCCATCGATCATTCAGAGACGGAGAAGCAAGAGTGGCTGGGATCCAGATGGAAAAGGAGGTCGGATTTTTTCACATAAAAATGCACATTCTAATTTATACATACAGATGGAAAATTACAAGATGTCCAAATGAGGAAACCTGAACTTGGGTATTTCATCTGTCTGCTGAGCCCATTGAGGCGTGTGAGTTTCGTGCTGTCAAATCAGAACCGACTTTAAATGACCTTAATAGGACTTTCAAGGTAAGTGAGGTATTTATGGAGAGGTTTTTACCAGTTCTACTCCCCCAGTCCGTTTCCATGGTTGAGTGAGGATTCGAATCTTGATCCCCAGAATTCTTGTCCGTCACCCTGTCCACTACACCTCACTGGGAATCTGAGTCTATGGCAGAGATTTAGACATTCATCTTTATACATACATCCCCATCCCCTTGTGTCCTTATTAGACACAGGCACTTCGTATTCGTATCCCTGGGGATACATGTGCCATGGAGGTCTGTTACCTCCCCCCCTCCGAACTGGCTGGTCTGCTCATTGGTTGTGTCTGTCATCATCAACATGGTGCCTATCGCCGAAGTAGCCGGACGCAGCCAACTACTCTGGCGAGGAGGTGGGAGGAATAGACTCTTTGCTCAGCGGTTGAGCAGTCGACTGTCTGGGGAGGCAGGGAAGTGCCGGCTGGACTACGTCCGCAATTGGCATGATGTCAATGATGACAGATGTCAGTGCCACACAATGAATGGTGAGTGGACCGGGTGATTCAGGGGGGGAGGGGGAAGGACCTCTATGGCACGCACGGTGCCACGTTTCGTATTCGTATCCCCCGTCATAATTGTTTAAAATACAAATATAATCATTTTTGTCACTATTTGTTGAATTGTTCAAAAGTAATCAGTTTGGTTGCTCATCATTCATTAGTAAGATTACAAGAACTTGAAAAATATTTCACATAATGGCTCTTTAAATATGTCTTAAATTGGCCTTTTTAAAAACTTTTAACTGCAACTAGCAAATGTTACATCTTACATTAATAAAGTAACTTCATTTCTTGCTACTGGCTAAAATGCTGCTGTTCAGCTTGGTAAGCCACAATTAGAGTAGGATCACGGAATTAACTGAATTTACTGAGAAGTTGACACACGATATCCCCACTGATTGGATGCGCCTAGTCTAGTTGTGACTTACTGCCCTTAGAAACAGGATTTCAGATGCCGAGTTACTTTTGAAATGCAATGGTGTTACTTCACCGTTATCCTGAAAAGTAACTAGTTACTTCTAACTATGTCATTATCTCCAAGCACTGGTCTGCTGTGGTGCTGCTGCTAACTGTGGATGAGGAATTTTATGGTACCCAGTTGCCATCTTTAGAATGCTTTACATTTAGAAGACTGATACCTACAGTCCAGCATTACCCGCTCTGACTGGCAGCAACTTTCCAAGGTTTGAGGCATGATTCTTTCCAAGCCCTGCCTGGAGAGGCTGGGGACTGAACAAGCAAGGCATCTGGTCCACCAGGCAGCTAATCCCCCAACCCAATAAAGCAGCTGGGGTTCAATGGTGTTTTCCCACTCAAGTACAATACTGCTTCTGCTTATGTTCAGGGTAGTGTATTATTTTTTGGGGGGGACATGGGAAAGAGTGAGAACAAAAGTCACTGAGGGTAAGTCCAATGGAACTATTCAGAGCTAAACAGAACCTCCATGGGCAGGAAGAGTAGATCTTCAGTTAGAACACATCGAATACAGTTGCTTCTGTGCCTTGCATTGAAAACTTCTCAGAAACCAGTGGCTGGTAACTCTTGGGAGACAGAATGTCAGACATGATGGATTTTAGGCCTCATCTGACAGTCCCGAGAGAAGGCCAGGGGAGTAGGGGGAGAATGATTACCTGGCTTAGCGCTCCAGGGCCTGCAGGGGGTGGGTGATTTGCTGTCCGCCCCCAAGACCATTAGAGAGAAGCATTGATCTTTGTTGTTTAGTCGTTAAGTCGTGTCCGACTCTCCGTGACCCCATGGACCAGAGCATGCCAGGCCCTCCTGTCTTCCACTCCCTCCCGGATGTTGGTCGCTTCGATGACCCTGTCCAACCATCTCGTCCTCTGTCGTCCCCTTCTCCTCTTGCCCTCACACTTTCCCAACATCAGGGTCTGTCTCTGCTTTTTAAGATGCTGTCTAGGTTTATCATCGCTTTGATCAGAGGTCCATTATTAGCTCATTCGCAGTCCATCTCCTAATCTATAAAACAGTATTTTACTGGCTGGACTCTAAGAGAAGTCAATAAAAAGCCCGGGCGCAACAAGCAATTTTTCTGGCCATGTAGAGTCGGCCCACTGGCCTGGTTTTACGTGGGAGAAAAAGGCACGTATCGACCGCTGTTGTGACCACATTACGGAAATAATGGGAAGGCTGCAGATTGAAGCGCAGGGTATGTGTCTACTTCCAGAAGGGAGAGGAAATTAAAAAGATTCAGCCTGCCACCCAACACCCCTTGCCTAGTTTATAACCTATATTAGATTTGAACCAGAGATTTTTTTTTAGGGGGGGCTCATAATTTGCATTCCGCAGGTCACTCTGGATGGTTTGCCACTCCATGTTTTGTTTGATTGCAAACAGCAAATGCCGCCCACCTCTGATCAGGATTGGTGCCCCAAGGAAGGTTGAACCCACAGTCCAGACACCCACCTGAAATCTGCTGTTTGGGGCACAGGATCCTTTCCTCATGTATCAAACCGTGGCTTCAGGAGAGAGGGCCACGTAGGTTCTGTATGTCCGAATGGTCATCCCAGAGAGAAAGAGTTTGGCCATCTCTCCCTAAGGGGCACCCGAAATCAACCCCGGCTGTGATTTACAGTTTTAAAAAGATAAACACAACATTGACTTTGTCTGTGGTTTAGCCCCTAGCCTTCCCCTTTCATCAGCATCTGGTCACTGAAATTTCACACCCCTCAATATTCCCTCTGGAAGCTGCCTTTCCCTGGTGTTTTTCTATTCCTTCTCGGGAGGAGGAGCGTCCGGAGCATTTATGTCTTTTATCAGTGACCGTGGGCCACTGCAGCTGCTCAAGTGTTGCTGGACTACTAATCTCAGCATCCCCCACCACTCGGCAAGCTGGCTACTACTGCTCACGGGAGTGGCAGTTCAGCGACAGGGAGAGAGCCAGGCATTCCCCAGAAACGGTACTCTATAGCTCCTTGGACAGCTGCTTTTTAAAAATGATTGTTTAAAAAA